ATCCATCATGCTTCATTCCCAAATACTTTGGAAAAGATTTGTTGGACTGATAACGGCTTTGTCAACCGGTATACTTGAAACCTTTGAGCAATCTCAGATAGTACTTTAATTAACAAACGAGCAAGTCAAGATTTATTACTATTCAACAATGAACTAACTTATAGATTGTTCGTCTGATTCTTTATTTCAGCAATTCGTTTCCCACCAGCTATACTTATAATCACGAAATTCATTATTCTGAATCAGGCTAGTTCACACTAATATGTTTGTAATACTGTAGTCAATATTTGTTTTTTTGTAAAAGAGCTTCATAATTTCTTTTATAATTTCTGAGAGAAAAAGCAAATCGATCAAATTTAATGGTATTCATAGAGCCATACAACTGCTTCCCCAAAAAATCTGTGATTATAAAGTAGCGAAAAAAAGAATATATGAAAAGGGTGCATATATATATATAAACTTGTGCCATGCAAAGTTTCAATTCATTAATATCCAATTCATGGAAAAAAAAATTTTGTAAAATGCAGCCAGAAATGATACTTAGATAACAATTGATTTTTTTTTTTTTTATTTATGGTATTAAAAAATATTTTCTTGACTTAAGTGTACTTTCTTGATAAGAACGTAGTTGAAACGTCGGTAAAAAACCATTGCTATACGCCTATCAATAAATAGTCAGAGCTGTATCAAGCATATCCAAATTTTGTCTTAGAACTTAAAAGGTGGAGAATAACTTTTGGACTATCACAACTAAACATCAAAATTTGACAGTTTCAACTGATCTCGATAGAACATGGAATGATTCTAGAAAACAGCTGATTGTCTGTTGAAAACTAGGTGATGTTAATGGTAAATTGTTTCTTTTGGTACTGTTTATCTTTTATAACTCCGTTTCAAAAAAACTATCAGCGATATGATGCGGCATTTAGAATTTGTCTCTAGAAATTTACAAAAATATTTGGAGTTTTTCGAATCAATGAAACAACTAAACTCTAACATTAAAGAGAAATTAGATATTTAGCTAGCAATTACCAAGATAGCTAAAACAACAAAGTTGCTCAATTGTAGATTTGTTATTTCTTGAGATGCTCCTTGTTACCATATGTAAAAATATACTAAACTATTGGAAAGTAAAAATATACTTAACCATTGGGAAAGTCATGTTTTTTAGATAGAACAAGATTGAAGAAAGCAGGTAAACTTTTCAGGAGTTTAAAATGAGAAAGTGTTTAGTCATATTCAAGAAATTTCTGTATAAGGTCGAAAGAAAGTGAACGAGTCAACAATTCTGCAGCAGCTGTGTTAATACTGAAACATTCAACGGTCAAGTTTCATGCATTTTAACCAATGTATTTTGCACATTTATTCTTCATTTATTGCAAAACGTATTTATTCATTTATTACAACTAATTTCGATTTATTAGCATTGTTTCCTATTTTTCATTTCGTTTCAGTGAGTGTTAGTTCTTTCTTTTTTTGTTAACGATACATTTTTTCATAAAATCTAACAATGCCTCCAGTAAAGTTATGACAATGAGTTAATTTGTTTAACAGTGTTGAAATATTGCAATGCAGTGAATTTCAATTACAAATGTGGATTTGATTAACCTTTTTATTTTCTCTTTATCGATTCTAGCTAAGGAAATTTTAACTGGTTTTTAGCAAATTCGAAGGATCAAACTAGCTAGAGATCACGTTTACTGTCTTTCGGCATTCTGATGCTGGGGACTTCGTGTCTCAGAGACAAACAGCTTTTATTGACAAATAGCAATTTGGATAATTTCTTGCAACACTATGTGTTTCCTATACAATTCATACTTGGTGTTGCCGGTAATTCTATCAATCTCATCGTATTACTCAGCAAAGGGATGCGTTCAAAGGTTCGGTTTTTTCTTCTTTTTTTGTTATCTATTTCCATATTTCTTATATGAATTTTAATAACTTTTCATCTATACATATATATCAATTTTTGGATATTTGATATGAATTCAAAACTACATATCCATTTCTTCTTCATTTCAAATATGAGACAGTATTTTCAGACAAATTCATTATTATCAGCAATGGCATTTGCGGATTTAGCTCTATTATTTTGCATGCTACCGCATTCGTTGGCCTCTTTTGAAATCGCATATCGCAGCTATACATTTCGCTATTTTTACTATGTTAGCAAACGGCAATTAAATGCATTTGCAAATTTCTTCTCCACAGCGGCAACTTGGCTCGTCCTTTTTCGTCACTTTTCATCTTTTTTCTTTTATTCTGTGAGCTGTTAAAAACTATGAGATATGGAAATAAGTCGTACTTCGTAATCTTCAGTTATAACATTCATAAATCTATACCAATACTCATTTATGTTCTATCTGCTGAATGATTGTTTGGGGAGCAGTTTATTTGCTGAGGAGAGCTTTTTCCTTCATTCACTTTAGTGCTTACTCTATGATTCGATTGACCGCTAATATAACTTGATATATTATATCTATCAATAATATTTATTTTTCTTGTTTTTATTTCTTTAACACATTTTCCCACATTTTTACTTCACTTTCATTCTTCTTAATTTATGCTCTTATCTAATATTTTCATTGATAATATGTCTTATACAGTGTTTAGAAATTGATCTCAAAAATGTGAAATGAACTTAGTAAGCATCAAATATTCATGCTCTGACTTTGTTAATATTATCTGCGTCTCATCCTCAGGTTGGTGCTTACCTTATCTGTAGAACGATTCATTGGTATTCGATCACCGGTTCATGCCCATTTTAAATGGAAAGAAAAAGGTGTCCTACTAATCATTATACCGATATTCATTGGTGCATTTGTGATCACATTTTATCATCACATTGCTTACAAATATAGCATATACATTATATGCAATGGTACTCAACTAAAGGGCAGCGTCAGACCGGTTTGTTCTTTGCCATTTTACTCAAATTTTTTATATTGGATTTAGAAGCCAAATATTTTGGCGGCTTCTAAATTATATTCAGTGCCACACGTCTTCCACTGATAGCAGATAACGAAGATGAATACTGCAATGGCTGTTTATCAGCTTTTTCACTTGATAGTAATAGGGAAACTGCTTCGCTGAATCCATCAGCTGATTAAAGCTAAGATTTAATTACTGAAAAGTTTAATTGCTCGCAATATCTTTAAAGTATTGCGAACATTTTCAAAGTATTACTTAAAATTATTAGAAATCATAGTTCTGAAGAAATATAATGCTAAAAGTTTTTAAAATAAATCTAGTTGATTTGGTAAAGTCTTTTTTTTGTTATCCTAAGGTTTCCCTGTTTTCTCCGTATATTTATCAAATTTTAAATTTAAGACTTACTAAAATAATGAAATACAATGTAAATTGTAGATAGATTATAACTGGACTGGTAATAAGCTCTATGGTAATGCACTGACAAAGTATATCCATTATGGGAAGTATTTACAACTGATAACAGTTATCTTAGTACCTATTGTTGCTGTTGCATTCCTGAACGTATCACTCATCTACTTGATGCGTAATCGTGTTGTAATACAACGAAATCGTAGCATCAGTAATAACAGTGATTATAGGTATAGTTTCATATCATATTTCTTGATCAAGAAGGAAGGAGTAAACAGGGCCGGAGAGGAAGAGAGATAGGATAAAATGTATGATGTTGGATAAAAAAGAATAGAGGAAAAAGATCTCCAGAGTTTTTTGTTTTCAAATTTTAAAATAAATTTAGACATATATGTCCGTTATTGCAGTATGCTACGAAGTTGTAATGATACTGGAATAATGCAACGACAGGAGAGGAAAGTAACTGTTACCGTATTGGCAATTGTAACCTGTTTTACCATAACACATGTAAGCTTCCAATCATTTTTAGATTCAATAAATTCGATTGTTTTAATAGTTACACATTAGATCAACCTTACGAAAATTTTGAAACAGTTTTGTCCGACATCCAAAAAACAAAATCCAAACACAAGACATTCTTAATAAATACAGTTATCAAAAATTATGTGATTTCAGGCACCATCTCTAATACCTTTCGTTTGGGAAACACTTGGCATATCTAAGGAGAACCCACGGCCTTTCTTAATAACAGTTAGCATCGCTAACTCATTGCTTATCACTGGAAAAGTTCTTAATTTTGTATTATTTTGCTCAAGTTCAGTGCATTTTCGTCGCCGTCTTATGCACATATTACTTTCCCATTTCGTAAGTTTTTCATTTCACTAAATGGCGTTTTCTGCTTTCTCTTGCATCTAGTTTTTGCATAAATAAATGACACGAAGATTTTCGTGTCCTAAAAGTTAGAGAATATATGCTGAGAACTTTCCTAAACTTTTTGTAAAATTCAGATGAGGCGGTCAGAAAGCAGAAAATTGAAAAAAGTATCAACATTACAATCTAAAAATGCTGCACCCGTACCTCCGATGCGAAAGGCTAGCACATCCCTCAGTCGACGCTCAATTCAATGGCAGGATTCGGTGGGAAGTAAATTTTTATCTGAAGGAAACAACTGAAACATATTATTTTTCTCATCCAACTTTTATTCTCTCAGCATTTCATCCACCAGTGCTGGGGATGAAAATTCTTAAGAGGCATATTGAAAAATGGTTACTGTTTCCTGTAAGAGTTTCAACAGTCCTAAGAATTACAATAACTGCGTTAAAAGTATAGGCTTGAAAATAAATCTTTTCCACTTTTTTTCCTGTTTAGTACTGTTATGTTGAATAGAATGGAATAAAATTAAATTCAACTGAATTACTTCAAATCTTCGGATGTTTACCTGATTTACCTCTTAACAGTGCTATATTGTTGTTAGATCTCATCTATGTTTATATAGAATCTTATAAAATAAAATATATCAAACATTATTGTACCAAATCAAAAATGGTACTAAAAGAAACGGATATCGTTTGTGATAAGAATTTAGAATTTTGCTTCTCTTTCTTCCCCTGATGATAATCCATGTCCGAGCAAGGATACAACTCTACTAGTACTGAGCAAAACTAGTCCAAATCAAGCTCAATAGGATCCATATGTTGCGGAATTTTAAGATTCATTGGAGGTGGTATATACGGTGCTTGTTTCGGTATATCGACAATAAAAAATTCGTGCTGCAAGGCGACTTCTGCTGAATAACGTTCCTCAGTTGAGTAAACGATAAGCTTCTGCAGTAGTGAAAGACATGTTTCGGAAGCTAATGGCACTGAAAGTTAATTTCAGTGAAATAACATATCCAAATTTTGAGCACAAAATAAGGATTTCCAAAAAACGTCAAATGATGGTCGAAGTAATAGCATGGAACACTTACAAAGGAATAATGAAAAAAATTTTAATTAAAAATTATATTCGGAATGTGATATAAAGATCGTATGAAGTTAACTAATACTAATATCTCGAGTAAATGCTCACACTGCTTTACCGAAATAATTTGTCCATTTTTAATCTAGTTATATTAGTCCATGAGGAGAACTGAGAATAAAGAGGAAATTACCTACTGATTTCCAATTGTCCACCGGTTTATTATCCTTAAAAATGATCTCACCATAATCCGGCATAATATTCCAACCTTCCCAGTCTTTTTCACAAGGTGAGCCAAGTACCGACATCAATTTTCCTATTTGTTCGATATCATTTCTACCCTGTAATAAATAATTAATTCTCAACATACTTTTCAATTATGAACTCCAAAATTCATGAGATGACGATGCTAGAATCTAATTACAAAACGAATCCTAAGAAATTAGAACGAAATATTTCACTAGCTGTTCTTCTGATGATGCCGCGGTATTTATAACGCATCACAGTAAAGATTAAAGATATAGCAAAAAAGTTTAAATTCAAGCAATCAGACCGCACTGAAATTCAAGTTCAATTCAACGCGTTAACATCAGTTTCACATCTTAAATCTTCCAGTAAAAGCAAAATAATTCCATGCACGGTTTCATTTTGTTATAATTATTTATAACAATTAAGCAGTACCGCAAATAGTGGTGTACCATTATAAAACTCAGTAAATATACAGCCACAAGCCCACTCGTCTACTTTAGGATTATAAGCTGTCGAACCGAACAATAATTCAGGTGCGCGGTACCATCTGGATGCTACCTGAAGCAGATATCTGACTTAAGCTATATTAACACAGTGCGCTGCTGAATTATTGTTTCGCAGCATTGCACCACTTTAAATTTTTGCAGTAATTAGTCGAATAAATAAAAACACATAAATAGTGGTAGAAGTTTTCCCTTTTTTGTCCATTGTTCTTACCTGGCAATCGTAATTTCGGTTAAGATCGTCTGATACATAAATACAACATTGTCCGAAATCCGTAATTTTTAGTAATCCTGTCGACGTAATTAATACATTATCCGGCTTTAAATCCTTCAAACATTATACAAATTAATACAACCCTACTAAACCAAACACAGCACTATTAATTTGTTCATTTTTTTTTCCTTTTTTAAGGCAATTTCGCTCTGGAATTAATAGCTCACCCGATGCATGATATTCAAACTATGCAGATAATCCAAACCGACAAATAACTGATACATATAATATCGAGGAATCTCATCATTTAATGGACGATTAAAATCCTCAATTGCCAGTTTCAAACTGGACCCGACATACTCCATTATAAGGGAAATCGTATCCGTATTCAATATTACATCGAACAATCTTACAACCTTAATCGAAGTGATACAATTCAATACCGTTTGCTTTTAAAGTTGGTAAGGATCTATGACGAAAACTTGAAAAAATTTATTAAGAAGTAGAAATATGATTTGCTCTGCTTATTAAACAGTTCATACTTTGCCTGCTAAACAATTCTACTACTCAGTAATAAAAAGGCGCTTTACAAAAAGAAAAGGAAAAAAATCAGATCTCCCGGTTTCTGGGTGATCGAAAAATTGAGTTTATATGGTGGGATATTCATGTTGCTTCATAAATGATAACATTTTTGTGATATGCATTTCGAAGGGCGAACACTTCTCGAATAAGTGCAATTTCATTCCTACTGTTTCGTTTCAGCGGTATTCGTTTAATAGCCACTTCTTCATGGCTCTATAAAAAACGCAATATTCGACTACCTAGCCATTTTGGATCCTGTATATAAGTTTATACTTCCATTGTCCCAAATCATGAAATTGAGCTAGTCTAAAGATTCCATAAAGAATATACAAGAATTCAATCATCCATAAAAGGGGAGAGAGATTTCAAAAACCATTACAAACTGTGAAAAATTGAAATACATTTAAAATTATAAATCTCATTTAGATAAATGAACCTTATTACTCAACAGTGATAATTTGCTGTATTTCTTGGTTAATAACCTACCTGGAAATGAGTTGCTTTCAGAACGACACCAAATGCACCCCGACCAATAATGGAGATTATATTATAGGAGTCATCATAACCCTCCGATGTATACAGTCTTGATGTTGACATCATTTTCTATTTCTGAAGCACAAGAATATAAATACTGCTGTGCTAGCATGTTTAATAACTGTTTTGTATGAAATCATCATTGTCATCACCCGTAACACCAGTTTGACTAATGAATACCCTTTATAAAAATAATCGCCAAACATAAAGAACATTCAAAATTACTAATAGCGTCTTTCTAGAAGAGTCCATATCTGTCGGAATTAAACGTTGAAATAAGCTCCTGATTCGTCTAAATGCATAAAAAATTTTTATACTAATATAGATCCCATATATTCTTTGTGTAGGGAGAACCGCTAGACACCCAAAAAAACTTTCTATAATAGCTAGTTTTATAATAAAATGAACAAGTGAAACAAGATAAAAAAATGATTCTATAAGTATACAAAAACTTCATTTTTATAAAATGTCCATTCTCATCTACTGTATGTGGTCACCATGGAAACATCGGGTAAACTACCGCTAACTTTTAAAAAACCAACCTAACATGTGATATCTTCCCCAGCTTTTTATAACTGCATTGTAAATACTGTGAATTTCGCACTTTTTTTTTTGAACATAAAGTACAATCCGATAATGCTATTGCACTAAATTCCCAGCTACATGCATATGTAATATTAGGAATACATTATGTTAGCTGATAGATATGAAACAGTCAATATAATGAGTGCTTTGGGAGATGGAATTTTAATAGTTCTGCATTTGCTATGTATGTATGCATTGGTGATTTGTTATATTTCGAGATTTTATGCACCAAATACAAACAAAAATAAAATTGAATATATAAATATGTAACGCAAGAATGTGAAAGAACTTCTGGATACATTATTAGTCTTAAATTTGTATAAAGATAATAGAAGAATTAGATATATATCCGAAAGCCTTAAAATTTGAAAATTAGGTTGAAAATGTACAACAGTACTATAAGCAACCAAAAGATGGATGAACGGCAGTGGAATGGCGCCCCAATGAACATATGGAAGCTCTTACGAAAACATCTTCTGCGCAAATTATAAGCAAGAAAAAGAAAACTAACAATATTACAGGCACATATTGTGAACAATGAACTATATTTCACTACATAACTCAGTCTGAATTCAAACATTAGCAACTTTAGCAACAGTCTCCATGGACAATATCTGATTTAAGTATACGAATTAATCATTTAAACGACCTTTTCGTAGGATCAGACCAATCCTTGAGTTTCCTTCAAAAAGACATCATCATATAAATCTGAAAATATATTCATTCAACAGTTTCATTCAGTTCAATAGCATATCAACCAACTTTACACTTTCAATAATATTCATATAAAACAGAGAGGGCAATCAGCATGACAAACAAATGAACATGCTCTAGAAATTTATCATTTCATAACTGTGTTCAATTGCAGTTCGCTCAGTCAATTCTATGCTTGCATATTGCTTTTGTAATCTTTCAACAATATTCAAATTATTTTTAACATTCATTGTCACATCCTGAAAATGAGAAACCACTCTTAAAACAGTTATCTGGAAACAATAAAACACACAACCAATTAAGCAGAGATGGGTATTGCATTAAGTAAAATACAGGTACCTTGGATTAAGTAAAAAAATACAGAAAATGTCCGACATGTATATCCAAAGTACGCAAAACTTCTGTTCCAACGTTGATCAGTTGATCACAGCCTCCAAGAAAGTGACCTTGCGCATCCAAAAGAAATCGAAAAAAATCCGTTTATCCGACTGGATGCTGAATGTATTAACAAAATAAGTAGTCACCACAACCAGCACCAGCCATACTCAAATGAAATATTAACAAGCTCAGTAATTTTTCTGCTAATCCAATTTTTTCCCTATCGGAGTAAGAAACAAAAATTCTAAGGTTCGTTAGTTCCTTTGGTAGAGAGGTCTAAGTAAAAAAATCTAAGTTTGAAAATATGTTAAGACAGCCGATTTACTTAACTGAACTTTGGTAAAGCGTTATTTTAAAACTTGAATTAATTTTCGACAAACTTATGGTATGTTTCAAATCATTAGTTAAACGCAATCCTTTCGGTGATGTAACAGAGAATGTAATATCGAGTACGCCACCCGCAATGACCAGTAATTAAAATACAAGCATATATATGCCATTAATCAAAAAATATTAATACTTTAAAATTTTTCCCATTTTCCCCGCTGGTACATGTCTACGTTCAGGTGCTTAAGAAAGCAACCACTCATACATAACGCAGGAATTATGAATAAAACTTACCTTTCCTATGCGTTATGAAACAAGCACAATATTCAAAACCTTATGCACACAATACTTTATTTATACTAACTAAACCTAAAACACATTGGATTCTTAAATGTAACAAAATGAACTCTTAAACACTATTCGTTGGACCGCAGCTGTAACAGAGATCGCAATAATCCAACCTCAAAATAGAATGCAAATAACAAGAAAAATAAATCAGTCTAATAAATCAGAATTTTATCATTCATTCGTACCAAAGTTGCTGGTGAAATAATCAATATGTGAAAAGAGATCAATTTACAAAAGTAATTACTATATTTGTTTTTCAGGAAAATCCTTATTTCTTCTATTCCTAACCCTTTCTGGGTTATCCTTCTTTTGTCCATCATCAGTCCCTGATAAACTCCTACAATTTTACATAGAAACAAACGATATTAAGCACGCATTATGATAAGTATCATAGTTTCCTTATTATAATAGAAACATAGTTACTATTATATCATGAATTAATCACATGAAAAGAGGTGCATATTAATATGTTAAAAATGCTGCCGCCTTAATAATTGCCCCAGCTTCGAGTTATCCTCAAACAAACTTCTTATCATATACACCTGAAAAACACAGTACATAAAATGAAGTGATAGCAAGATGCTCTCATTGCAATAACAGCAGTTTATAAATGACAAAAGTTTATATGTACCCATGTAAAATTATATAATAAAAAATACCTGTAATAAACCAACAATTACTAAAATGATAGAATTGACTACGGACCACAAAGTTACACGATCGAAATTAGCATTCATTATCGCTCGATCGCGTGCTTCATAAGCTCGCAACAGCGACTGATGATATTCGATTTTATTTAGTAGATTTTTGATGTTATTAGATGCCTTCTAAAATTGGAATACATCATTTCTACCAGTTTTTTTCTAGAAAAAATAAAAATAAGTTGTAATTACATAAAAACAGAAAGAAACCAAATAATGACTATAAATACTCATTTGAAGTGAAGTAATATACTTTTAAATGCTATGTTTTATTTCACATTTCTCTGCTGCACAGTCCTAAGCAATGTTAAAGAAGTATGAGTAGGATGCATACATGGCAAAACAAAAGGTGGCATCAAGAAAGTCAACAAGTCGGTCTTAAGGAAACCAGTCAGTGAAGTCACAGACTTACTATTTATTAAATCTTTTTTTTAAAGTCCATTTTTTTTCTTAAAATCTAATAGCAGTTTAAATCTAATTTTTTTCTACTATGAGCGAACATACTTGGAATTTCTGCATTTCGAAACCAAGTCCACTGTATTCTTGCCTTACAGGACCGAACTCCTCAACCATATTTGTTTCATCAAAGCTTCCATTTTCATCTAATAAAAAAAGTTCAAAGAAGAGAACTTTACGTGTTTGGTAGCTAAATGAATTGTCGAAACATAGCTGATAGTCGCCAGATTCCTCCATGGAAAACCTTTAACAATATTATCAATTATTATCAGTGATATTAGATACTTCTAAAATAATTAAAACATTCCGTGACCCCTCTCCAATAATATTTTCCAGCAGCCATGAGCTAAATTTTGGATGAATTCAATCACTTTTAGCTCAGCAGTGATACCATTTCATAAAAACAAGTTAGCAGTTATTGCAAAAAAATTTAAAAAGGAAGACGTATAAACGAAAATTAGCGATCTGATGATGGCCAGTTTATTTGCACAGATGAAACGCAAACCTTACTTATGGCTTCCCTCGACCTTCTTCGTTTCTTGTAGCAAAATTTTGGCACCAAAAAGCATCACAAAATTGATATTCAAATCGCCACCATCAACCACCTGAAACCTTATTTAATTGTGATCAGTTCATTTGCATAATCTTTCTCCTTTGTTTACCTTTACGGTAAAAAAAGTTAATTTACCTACTGGATTCCGAAGTTCCATGTAGAGAGACAACTGCAACCAAGATGAATACATCTACAACCATTATCATTCCATTCGTAAGTTACACAGATAATATTTTTGAAAAATGACAAAAAAGGAAAGAAGCTTGCTTGATAATCAATTTCCATAAACTTGTGATGTGTATTGTTGACTGTTTGAAAAAAGCAATTATGTTTTCCAGCGTCCACCTCAATCGTATATGCATATTCTGCACCACAACATATATGAATAAATAAATTGAAGATGCACAGGAAGATGTACAAATCTGAATCCATCAGATCTGCAATGCGGAATGTATTACAAACATGAAACTATTCCGATAACAGTCCGGGATGACCAACCAGAATCCCAACCACACTAACCACTCTGCGAAAAAAAATATAAAAGTAATGGAAATGCTTTTCGGCAGTTGTGGTCTGCAATTCTTGCGTTTGTATTTTACGGTTTAAGTAAAATGCGGCAAGCACCAGCAGAGTGTCCTGAAGCGTGTTAACGGAAAAGTCATGTGGAGGGTCAGTGTTGCAAAGCAGTGTCGTAGGTAGGATAAGTCCGGTAGAGAGGGGATTATAACAAATAGTGCAATGCCGCTGTGCTGACAAAAAGTGTTATTTTGTAGTATTAGTTTATGTGACGACAAGTTATAATTTTCTTTCCGATAAATTTTCAGCTAATCTGGATTATTTCTCATCAAGTTACTGGACGTCTTGAAATACTCACTATTAATTTGCTGAGTAATCTAGACTAGTTAAAATTCGCATACTCTGAAATAAAAGTGACAGATCACAACATTGATTTTAGTTTCCTTTTCTAGGTTCTATGTTCGAGGAATTAAAATTGGAATTAAAGATCTAATTTGCTTGATATCAAGCTTATTTATGATCTCATCGATGGCTACAATAGGGCGACGGATAGAACCTAAACCGTCAACAACCAATATATCCGAAGCTATTCCACTTTTACTTGTTCCTGTTGCTCGACAATCTGCAGTAGCTATCCCTACCAAATTCATTCCACGCACAATTTTTGTAGATGCCCAAAGTCTGCAAACAAATATGGATTCCAATAGAGAAGGTAACAATCAGTATTTGGTCTTGTTTAAAATTTTAGAAACTTTAAACAAAATAAGGCATTTATTCTAATCCGTGGAGAAAACAGCAAGAATTATAAAACAAAGTCAAGTAAGGTTATAGTTACATGTCTGTCGAAAAATCTTCGACATGGAGAACTGTATAATGCTACATAGGGGTTGTTCACTTCTCGTCATCTACCTAAATTATATATACCTGAAGTTTACTATGGTTGTCCTCTTCCTTTATTGATTAAACTTAAGTCATTGCTCTCTACTCCACTACTCCTCGTTATGTTAACAGCTTTTTTGAACTTACATTTTCTTTTGCTTCTTGTGTTGGACAATGTTGGAAATATTCAACACTTTGAATGTCCAATGTACTATCTTTATTTAGCCTTCATATATTCCTTTAACTTCATGACTTTAATTTTTTTTTCTTCGATACTGCAGTATTAATTACAGTCCTTACATATTTATATTTTAATGCTGCAGTCCGATCATTTTTTTCGCTTTGATTCCAGTTCTCTTTATTCTATTCTTTCCTATGTTTTCAGTCCCCTTTCCTACCATTCTTTTAATGCTGTCTTTCTGAGATTCATTAAAATTAAATGGGAAAGCTGTGTTAATCTTTACTATCATGTCATTTGTGACGTTTATACACTCAAGAAGTTTGACGTTATTAGGAGTGACACAAGACATCATCTCCGACAAATTTTCGTAGAAAAAAACCCTTAAAAAAAAAAAAAAAAAATCATAGAGTAGTATAGGGACTCATGATATCTTTTAAAATCGTAGTAATATCAAGTAAATTATGAAACATTATCTAAGCTCAAGTAAAGTAAAGGATTTCCAAAGCTTCGAATAGCCTATCAGATCTTACGTTTGATATCTCTTTTGACAATTTTTCCAACGTTTTCCCTCCTCGGAATTTTTTTGACACTGCTTCATCTTTCTCTACTCTTTCTCCGTTTTGCTGAAGTAGACAGAAATAAGGGGACGGTTTTTGGAACATTGAATTTCTTAACCTTTTTGAATATGACTGAGATATGTTATGGTTTCAGTATCGGGTCAACTTACTACTGTTGAATCATGGCGAGATATTTGTTTCGGAAGCGCTAGGCATGCTAGACGTTCTGTAGACATCAAGCCGAATTTCGTTCACTTTTTGTCATTGAAAGGAATTTGTATAATGTAAACGCTAAAAGATAATATCGTGGGATCTATGAAGTCATCCCATTTCCAGTTTTGGAACGGAAATTATTAAGAGAATTAAGCTTTTTGTTCGCTGTTGTAATATCGGGGATTTTACTTGAAGATAAGTTTTGGTGTAGCAACTGTTAGAGACCAAAATTAATGTTGATGCTATGTGCAAGATTGCTTGGATCAACAGAATGTTAATTACTTTGTTTTTTCCTTTTATCTCGAATCCCTTTTCATCACTGCAAAAAATTTTAATGTGCCAAGTTTGTTATCTTTTTCCTGAATTAGCATTCAGTGTTCAAGTAATATACATTTCTGTTGGGGCGTTTGTTTAGTAAATGACCGGAATTGTGATATATCTAGGTTTCCTGTGGTATGTCGCTTCTGGATAAAACATGGAGACGGTTCAGCCTATGAATAAAATCGTTATTGTCATATTGTTTGTTTTCTGAGTAATTTAGAGAACAGCATGTGATGGAAGGCAGTTTTTCTTTCTTGGCAGAATGGTGAGTCGCAAGCGACTGGGAGCAGACACAGAGATATTGAAAATTTAATCTAAATTAACAGAAACTATTACTTACTGCTGTTGCTGACAGCCGAAATCTATAAGGTTGAATACTTACAACAAAAGCGATGTTATGAATCTTTAAATAAAACGTAGTACAATATAAAATTATATATATATAATGATGTTAAGCGCAATTAAATACACTTTAAATCTATTCAATGCAAAGAATGGTTTGCATTTTATTCATTTTGTTTAGAATTGTTTAGATCAATATGTATATCTGTGTGTGTATGTTGTGGTATGGTGTGTTACTGATACTAACTGTTCATTAGCTTTAAAATTTTGTGTTAACATTTTCATTTGTGTTTGCTTTTCTATTTCATTTTTATCATCAGTAACTTTATTGAAACCAACAGTGAGATTTAGTGCGAAGGAAAATAAAAACTGGTGTCTTATCGGAATGGTTTGTTTGAAATTACCAAAAAAATGGACGAAAAAAAGCTTGTTTTCCCTGTGAAGAAGTTGTTCTCTTGTCATCTCTCCTTATTTTGTATATACATCTATCAAGACAAAAGGTTGCGTCAAGCATTGTCATTATCTTACGCTATCTTGTTATTTCCAGTTATCTATTTGTTGTTTAATTGTAGGCTGTTTCATTTATGGCAGAAGCTACTTCTTTTTGTCGTATTCTGACCAACTAGGGTGATGTTCCATGTGTATATATCGATAGTTGTATTTTGAAAATTCGTTGAATGGTAAAGTAATACGTCGACATTATACGTTCCTCAATTGATTAATGTAGAACTTCAAAGCATTTAAGTTTACATATATATATATCTTTGTAAGAGAGATAAAGAAACTGCAAAAGTAGCTTTTGCAGCTCTTCGAATGAAGCTAGAACGTCGTCCAGCACAGGGATATCTTATACAACGTGGTATTCTTCCAGGTAATACTTTCACTTTTTTTTTTTATGGAAAAAAATTTTCTTTTAAAGCAAGGTAGATATAGCGGTGGTAGTTTTGTAGATAGAAATACGAGTTACAGCTTTTCGGAGAAATTAAGTTAAAGGTTGAATTTCAAGGTTTCTCTGTTACAACATTGAAAGAAGTAGGGGTAAACTTAGGGAGATGATAAAGCTTTCGAAAACTAGTTTCTAACCTCCATGCACTGTTCTATTTGTATAGTAATTGTTAATCAATTTGTACATATACAAATTTTTACAGTAGTTGTCATCAGAAATCAAATAGCATTGAACACATTGATTGATCTCTCCCTCGTCTCTCCCCCTCCCTTCCCTCTCATCCTTATAGAATAGGAAGCTTCAATTTGTCGTTTTTTTTACGGTGCATTATTACTGTGGTATTTATAGTTGAAGAATTTTGATTAATAATAAGCTTTTCTAATCTCTCTAATCTCCTTCAAATAATGCTGTTAGAGCCTAAGTTTATTAATGAAATGAGTCGCGCATTTTAAATAGTTTTATTTTGCTTGGAGTTTAGTTATTGAATAAATGGTGTAGTAGAAGTCACTTATGACTGTACTTGATCAGATTACAGTGTTGAAAAATGCTTATTGTTTATCATCATTTCCAAGTATTAAGTAGCAGTAAACAGCTACATTATGATGAAGAATGTTGGTAGTGGTTTAATAGAAATTGAATTTTTTTATTTTTTTGTGTTTTTTTTTTTTTTTTTTGAAATTAAAAGGGTAGTTTAAACTTCCGGTCTTTGAATTGATAGTTATTGTTTCATGATTTAGCAAAATATGAGACTTCCGGTTGCCTATGTGTATGATTATTTTGCCTAAAGATTAATACTTTCATGTCGTCAACAGGAAATGAGGGTCGAGCTAATAGTGTGAAATGCGATCAGAAGAATAAGTGTTGTGACGTAAGTGGAGGCACTGCTTCATGTGTGATGTGTGCATATCTATATGATTCATTGGAAAATACGATGTTTTCCTAAAGGGTACTGCTGCTGTTTAATCCGTTGCGGGAGTTAGAGGGATTGCAAGCATGATTGGATTCATTTGTTTATTTCAGATAATTTGAATCATTTTGTGGCAGTGTGGACCCCACACAACGGACGACAGTTGTTGCGCATTTTTTTCGTTGTAATGAGCTGGTGCATTTTCTAAAAATTTATCAGATTTCAGCTTATCAGTCGTAATGTAAAATTCCTTCTCATAGCATCCTTTTCAAATTCCACTTGTATACTTTAGAAAAAATTTTATTATTTCTACCGCTTTCTTTTAAGCATTTTGTAGTAATTGAGCATGCGCATGCTTTCGGACAAACAAGCCTTTACTTTTAAAGCCTGGAATATGACCCATTTCTGGAATTGGGCTTTCCGAATCTTATCTGGGTTTGATGAGCAAAGATATAAAAGTTGGCCGAATATGGTTAACTCGAAAGAAGCTAACTACTAACTTATACATACGAAGTTACAGTAGAACGTTTAACTCAGTGATCGATAGGAAATTCTCATTTATTCATGAATTAATCTGAGTACCTGAAATTGTACAAGAGAGTAACTTCACTTTCCCGGTTCCTGGGATAATATAAGCTCTCGAGAGTCAAGCTGGAACATTTTTTTCAGATTTCTTTTCGTGTAGCTTTGTTTGTTTCTGGCAAATTTATCTTTTTTTTTCTTTTTTCTTTTTTTTTTTTTAGCAATATGAGGCTTAACGGCAAGTAATAAGTTTTCGAAAAAGTTTTGCGAATCCACTCTTTTTCTTCATCTTTGTTGTTTTGATGATTTATGTCATTTCGGATTTGAACTTCGTCCGAGCATCCATTTGACTTTAAATTCTAAGCATTGGTTATGAACTTTATCTTATCACTAATTGCATCCGGAATATGAGCAGCCGTATGATTTTTTGCGAAGTGATATAAAGTTGTTTTGTAGTTTTTGAATAGCACTGATTCTATCGTTTCGCCAGTATTATTTAAAAATTGTCGCATTGGGGGTTGATGATCAGCCTTACGATAGTTGTTGACCTTCAGCTATACCCTATCTCAGCTGCATCTTTACTTTGTGTAACAAATTGAATAATGGCAGAATTTAGAACATTGGAAAAGCATTCATTTCCATTGCACGCCATCAGTAAACTTTTGTTTTGTTATTGTTTTTCCGCTAGTTTCCATCTTTTCTTTTTATTTTAATCTATTTATTTCGTATACTACTAGCTGGGTTAATACTGACATCGAATTATTTTCAAAAGAACTGAAATTCTGTTCACCTTTACCATATTCCTTTAACAACATCTTAAAGTAGATAATAATTGGTAATGAAAGTAATAACTAGAAGTGGTACACAGAGCTAGGTATCAAGATTTTGAATTTGTGAATGGAAGTTTAATTTGGCTTATGTTACGTACGGTATGGTATGGTATGGTATGGTTTCATCTGTTATGAGGATGTACTGTTGTTGATCGACGTGGATGGAGTTTTACGTTAGGGTTGTTAACAAACAAACACAGAAGCAAGGATGGAGCTGGAGATGAAAGACGAAATGATTGAGCTCGAGCAACTGCTCCTGTTTACCAAGTAGTTGGTCGTTTCGTTGTGTGCTCGTGTGTATGTGTCTTCTACTGCATTCTCCCTGTGCACATACCTCTAATCATCGTTTCCATTCACGAAGAGCTAAGTGGTGGAAGATGTGGGAATGAGTTGAGTTGAGATAAAATATCATTCTCTTGCCGTCATCATTCCTCTTTCTTGTCTTTGTCACCGCTCTACGGTCGCTTTTCTTTCAATTCAACAAACAAAACATTTGCTACATCAATTCGTTTTGTTACAAATCTACTGTTCCATTTATTTATTTTTTTTTTTGTTTTTCCATTACTATACTTATCTGCTTACATTGAATTCATCAGTTCATTATTTATGTTTTTTTTATCATTGTTTAAAATATTAGAAAGATCCCCCTGTGACCAATGTGTTTCTGGCTGATGTTATTCCCTTATTACAAATTTTATCCAGTAGGGTAAGCTAACCTGTTGAATTTCCTTTTCATAATCTGGCTCTCTGGTCCATTGTTTTCGTCATAATATTTCCTTGATTCTCGGATTCTTTCCGGTAGTCCTATCTAAAATTAGAACTCTTAAATAATATTCGACTACAACACAATACATGCATATATCGCGAGGTAATTTTCTGCACTTTTTCGGAGGTAACTGAATAGACCGAAAGAAAATCTGTGCGAAATATAGAGGGCAAGTAGAGAGAGTTAAATGAGAAAGGAATATAAGATTGTTTAAAGAAATAAAAGCATTCCATCCATATTTCAATCTATAGTAAGCTTTTGTAATCGATGTTTGTTTCTTTTTTTCTTTCTTTTTTTTTTTTTTTTTTTTGCAGTACGGTAGCAATAAGCGAAATGAAAAATGTTTATTTTTGAGGAATTTAAAAAAAACGGAGAGGAAGAGAGGGGTAGAGGGTGGAATAAAGAAAACCGCATTTCATGGTCACGAAGCACGCTTATACACATATGTGACGATTTGCACTCTATACAAAAAATCTAAAATTTTATCTTGAAAAGCTTTGAGAACCATCAATACTACGCTTGCATGTCCGGACTGATTTTTCGCTTCACCAGCCAAAACAGCGTTAACATGTGTTCTTTGGCTGTATCCCATTTATATGTTCTGATATTTAAGTTTCTTCATTTCTCGGGTAATTTAGTCTCCATATACTTCCAGAAATTCATCGCATTTGTTAAAATCTTTAATTGCTTAATGAATTAGGGAAACACAGAGGCTGAATGAATTTGGCAGCATTATCTTTAATGATATTTCGAAAAGAATTCTTTTTTTCCTTTTTTTCTTTTCACTTCAAATATTATTACAAATAATAAAACCAGTGAATCCATAAAATGTATGGAACAGTAAGGATCGTGCATTTATTTGTCGCAATACATTTATTAGTGATGATATCATATTACTAAACAAAACAATGTTAACATATTCTTTGAATTTACTTCATTTCTTTACTGGCTATACTTATTTCTGCGCAAAATTTAGCTTCATTATTAAGCTCAACAAATTAAGTAATTTGTACCTTCATTGTAAACGGTACGAATGATTTGGTTTTAACTTCACTCTTCAACAACATCCTTTCGGTTTTAACTGAAGCTTGGGAAAACAGTTATTTCTACTGCCAGTTTAATCCTAATCTATAAGTAAATATTTCATGGTGGATCGACATAACCATTTTTTGACCAAGTATAGAAGAATGCAATGGTTTTTCAATTTTTACGACTCTTTTTTTTTTTTTTTTTGCACTTTCGGGGACCAGTCGTGTTCGGATTATTCATGAGCGTAATCACTGACTTTAAAATAAAATCTTCGAGTTGACATGAAAGAGTGAATTAATTTTATTAATGGAAAATGTTAAATATTGTGATATGGATTCATATCATTATTGTTATTCTGTTAGAGGTATTAAACCAGCTAGTAGTTTGCTGTTCTGATTACTGTTCAAGACTGCAACAGCGGAGATGCATAAAACTCATAGTTATTAGTTTGTAACGAATCTTGTTGCTCTTCTGATTTTTCGATTTTTTTAGAACTGAGAGAATATACTAGTATGGAAATAAGAATTTGAAAACAATTAGATTGGCTGTTATGCGATGTGAGAATTTCAAAGAAAGATTAATGTTGTATAACTTTTTTGTCGAGTGTAACCTCTTTGAATTTACTGATATCGTGCCATTCCTGGAACTGAATATGTAAGATTTGAAAAGGAAAGAGTGGCACTTTCCTTAGTTTTGCATTTTTACCATATGTTCCTTGATTTTGCTTTGTGGCAAAAGCACACATAGATGCAAGCAGTGAAGTTGGATAATATAAAGTTATGAGAACGTCGCTTGGAAAACATTCGCTTATGCTCCATCAAGTAAGATCATTTTTTATCGTTATGAACGATGAAAAGTGTTATAAGAGGCGGATGAGAAAATCCTTCGGTTTCCGTTAGCCATAAATCGGTTCTGCTTCAGTGCTATGATTAATGAAGCCATATTTCACAACTGATTCGTTTCTTACAGTTATGTGCTATCACTGATTTTTTTTGATTTTTTTTTTTCTCTTGCTTTTCTATTTTTTTAATGTTTAAAGTATTTGCATTTCATCCAATTAATTAGATTTTTGTTTTACATCTTTCTGCTGGTTTCATCTTTAATTACAGTGGATATAGAGTAATAGTAGTGACTGATAGTGGAGTGATGGTAATAGTGATAAGTGGTAGTACTAATGGTCGTATGTGTTTCCTGGTTATAAAAAAGCGTTTCCGATACTGAGTAGTAATACGTTTGTTTTGTTACTGAACGTAAAAATACGAACTGTTCAGTAGTATCTAGTTCTTGGTGAGGTCATTAAGTATAATTTCTGATACAAATTACTGTAGAAAAAGTGTGATTAGGATGACGGAAGATTACAACGAAATTGGTGACTAATATCAGATAGAAAATTAAAGTAAAGTAGTTTAAGTGACGGAAAATCTGTGGTGAGCCTTTATATTATGAAACTGATCTACATAGATCGGTAAGGTTTAATAAATTAGGGAACAGTTGAGTGTGTGAGAGTGGATATTGCTGTTATTATAATGTTATATTTATTGGATATGAAGATAAAGAAGCCAAATGCAATTCATTTATGGGATAGTACACTGTATTTCATTGATTTCGATTCCGTACGATTCAATTCTCATCTAGTTTTTGTAAAACATCATTCTGTTTCCCCTGCGCGTTATTTGTAAGACGATCCATTGGCATGTGTTATGTCAGGTACGCATATCATCGAGACAGAAGCATGTCTGTGCGGAATCAGCGCTTTGATATCCTGTGATAAATTTCTATCTTGTTTTGGTTTTATTTCTAACGAAAAGAATAGGAGCAAATGCGTATTTTATCACCTTTAGGTAGATTCCATGCAGAATTTGTGAACTGTCTATACAAGCTACTGTTGTTAGGAAATAGCAACGTATTCGTTTTTTTTTTTTTATGTAAGAGATTACAATGATATAAAAGTTCCATTTATTAGTTGATCGATTAAATCTTTCCTAGTATAATCACTAACTTTATGCAGTCATTTTCAGAAGCTAACGGGACTTCATTTCCCAAAAATTTCTTGTTTTTTTGTACGAGAACAAATCAGTTAATCTGTGAGTATAACATGGGTTCCTGTTATGAAGAATGCACTTGTTTTTATTTGCTGATTTTTTTCATTATTTGATATTGCATATCTGAACAGTTCTATTTCACTGTTAGAAGCAATCGATTTGAAAGGATGACACCGATCCATTACTTGTTTTTCCATATTTTACAATTTCTTTATTAAAGAAAACAGAGAAGTACATAAAGATGACTGCTGGTTGTATTGTAATTTGATAGGTTCAGAAAGAACGGGTTGGAGTTTTCATTCATATTTTTTGATGATTATAATTTCACCTTTTTTCTTGAATATGTTGACGTATATAATTTCATCGTAAACTAAAATGTGTTTTCTTTCGTTGTTTTGGTGAGTAATAATTTCTTTTAAATTTCTCAATTTCTCTGTTTGATTCGTTATAACTTTAGTCTTAGCATCTTTGATATTTCTCGTGATAAATTATTGTCGTTGCTAGAATCATCATAGGTTGAGAAGTCTCTTAAAGATCTGGGTTCACTTAAGTAAAATACTTATGCTATAGTGAATGTTATATTTATACGTGAAAAATAATATGATTGTTTTATTTTTGTTTGATTTTTTTTTTTTCAAAAAATTGTTTTAAGTCTTCTAAAAAGAAAAGTTAGCTGCATCTAATGAAGAAGTAGCATTTTTAGGGTTTTTCTTCTTGCCTATTAGAAACCATTATTCAGTTACTCAATTTTTTTCCTACATATAATTTTTTCTTACACATAAATAATTTGTTCCTCAAATATTCACATACATGCTATCAAATGGAAGTGGTGATGAGAAATCATTGATCTTATTGAGCATTAATGAATTCTGGACAGATTTTTAGATTGTAACAATTGGAATTTAAGTTTCCGAATCAATTTCCGAAAAATTCTTGCTTAAGTTCTCCAAAAGAAAACTAGCCTAACTGCTTCTGACAGTGTAGCATTTTTAGCTTTTCTTTTTTGCCTACTAAAAGCTGTCGTTTAATTACCCAAAGAGCACCACCACCTCTTCTCTTTTTCTATTCATATCTCTCTCCCTCTCTCTCTCCTTCCACTCCTGGAAGAGAGAAGAAGGAAGAAATAGTCGTCGGTATTGAATAGGTTTTTGATTGCCAAAAAGATTTTTTTTTCTTGATTTCAGTTCAGCAGGAAGATTCGGCATTCTCTAATACATCCTTTTTCGTTTCTATTTTACGGTTCATTTCGCTGTCATCAATATAGATGGATAGATGTTTTTTTTTTTTTTCTACCTTGTTACGAAATCCGAATCTATTTGAGATAATTTGATTATTGAGAAGTGATATTAGAAAATAGGGGATATATGCCATACCATGTTCCGATTTGATCTGTTTTCGTAACAAAAAAAAAGTCATGTATTTCATTCTCTTTTGTTTCGAATGTGTCGAACTTTATAGAAACATAGAAGTGAATCTTCCCAGCTGTTTCAGTGACCTATCTTACTTCTCACTTAATTAATATTTGCGAACTTTTGATTAAAGTGGAACGTTTAGTGAAGTAGATCTGAATGATGCAGGATAACTTGTTTAACTTGTTTGCAAGATAACTTAGTAACTTGTTTTCTTTTTTTATTGCGTGATGATAATAAGAGTTCTTTCATGATTAAATATCCCAAATATCTGACCTGTGGAGTGTATAATTTGATCAGTTTAACTTCAAAATTGAGTTAATATTCATTTCTTATTTATATATCTTGATTGCACCTGTGTCTTTTTACTGGTGCCAGGGTAAGATCATTGTAACGAAAGATTTTCGTAGTTTCGTATTGTGTCCTACAGTTTATATTGTTAATATATCTGGTAGGAATCTCGCTTTTGAAAATCGATACATTAATGCAAAAATGTCGTGAAGCTGTTTTGTCCTTCTTTCGAATCCGAAAATTGTCTCAAACTATTTTCCACAAAGCAATTGACTAAGCGGAATTCATCCCTCACCTTGTGCTGATTAACGTATAGATTTTCGAAAGCGATCACTTCTCACCACTCATGTTTTCACAAGCAAATAATTATCGATTTTGCGTTTCTAAACAAATTAACAATATTTCAAGTTTTTATGTTTCAGCGGACGGAGGCGATAGGCGAAAGAGTGTTCTGCGATCAAAAGAACGTGACGCTTTAAAACGGAAAATCGAACAGCGCCCCTCCAAACAGAAGCTTGTCACGCAGCACATCTTACTTACTGGTAATTTTCATCTTTGATTCACACTTGTTTAAGCTATACAAAAATACCGCTGTTACCTTGAATTTGATTACAGATTATTCAAATAACTTCTTGCGTTGTTAAATTATGAAAAATATAATTTGATTTTAATGCATTGTTGTATTGTTTATTGCAAGTTTTAGATTTACGAATCTTATTTTCCGCTTTTTTTTTTTCTTTTTACACTTTATATCTGCTTGTTATTAATCGATATGTCATATATCCTTTAATAACTAGACAAGTTTTCTCCTCTTTACTCTT